GACTCTGCTCCAGCAGAGCTAGGGCCAGCCTCTGGCTCTTCCACTACAAGTTCAAGTCCCAGGGGCTCCAGCTCACCCCCTGAGTCCTCTGAGTCGTCCTCCAGGCCGGGCATGACAATTCCTCTGAAAGAATTCAGGACCTTCCTTTTCTTGTGAATCCCTTCCAGTCACATGTAAACCCCTCTCCCTCCATTGTGCAGGCTTGACCCTCTTCCCCTTGCCTCTTTCTCTCTCCCTCCTTGCAGATGTGGGGGAGAAAGGAGGCCAGCTGTCCGTGGGGCAGAGGCAGCGCCTGGCCATTGCCCGGGCCCTAATCCGGAACCCAAAGGTCTTGATACTGGATGAAGCCACAAGCGCCCTGGATGTGGAGAGTGAAGCTGCGGTGAGTTTTCAGTAGGGTGGGATAGGAGGATTTGAATTACACGTTGGCTAAGGCTAAATCATATAGAAAGTGTCGGCTCAGGAGTGAAGTCGAAGGGTTTCATGGCCGGCATCCATAGTTTTTTGTGGTTTTTTCAGGCTGTGTGAACGTCAGAAAGAAACTCATCTAGAACATGGCCACACAGCCCAAAAAAACCACAAAAAACTGTCGTCTCAGGTTTTGCAAATACTTAATAATTGTACTTGTAAATGTACTTCATAATTATTTGTTTTCCTTTTAACTTGTAAGCTGCTTTTAGTCACAGGTGGGGTATAAATAAAGTTAATAATATTTTTTCTTGTTTTAACCATGTTGTAATGCCTTGGGTCCCATGATGGCAGAAAGACAGGATATAATAATATTGTCTGACCTCCTGTGCTGCAGTTACAGATCTGTACCCTAGGGTCATGGCTAGTGATGTAAATTTATCTCTTTATTCTTCCCATTCCTGAAGGGGTGGGTGGGAAATGTTATTATTATTATTATTATTCCTCCTCTGTGGAAATTTTGAGTTCCTGCATGGCAGGGGGTTGGACAGGATGGCCCTTGTGGTCTCTTCCAACTCTATGATTCTATGAGATATTTCATCTTGGTTGCTTCATAAACAAGCGAACCATTTCTGGCAAATTCCCAAAGAATAAAGCTATAAAACCCTCAGCTGGCTTTCTCTCCCTAACTCTTCTTACAATTAGTGGCGTGAACCATAAAACTCTATTTGCAGTGTCTAACAAGGAAGGATGACCTTTGTTTATATTTAGAATGGAATTGCCTCTCCCCACCCTCCTACACCCTGAGAAATAATTCAGATTGCCTTGCCTGACTCACACGATTAAAATGAATGATTGGACTACTGTTACTTTTGTTATTTAAGTAGAGGAGTCCTAAACATTTAATTTCTGCAAATTCTCACACTTTGGTCCAACATGTGCCAAATCTCAGAGCTCATAAATACTTGAATCCAGAATTGAACAGACCTCCTACTCTTAATGAGGCTGCTAGCTCTTAAGGTGGGCTTGCAGGGAGGGTTGGACCAGGAGACGTTTCTTAGGTATGCATTTGTAACTAAGTAGACACTGTCGAATATTGGTGATCCATAATAATAGTAGTGGTATAGAATCATAGAGCTGGGAGAGAATGCAAGGGCAATCCAACCTCCTGGCATGCAAGGAATAACAATAACAACAACAACAACAACAACAACAATAGTAATAATAAAAAATCTGGCCAAGAAAACCTTGTGATAGATTTGCTTTAGGGTTGCCATAAGTTGGAAAGAACTTGAAGGCACACGAGAAGTAGCAATACACAGCTTGACAAGTACAGATCAGTTCAAACAGTAATAATAAGTAACACCAAATATCTGGCCCTCTGATATTAAATAGTCCAAGAAATAACAATCAGCAGTCTGATAAGAATGTCTCACAAAAAAGCTATCCAGAACAGAAGTGCATTTAAGGCTTTTCTAAAGGGGCCTGCAAGAATGAAGCCCGATAAGACACCAGCTGATAATGCATTTTCTTGTATATTGATCCAGGGGCCAGTTTTTGGCTGGTGGGGCCATATGTGGGCCTCATGGACTATCAAAAAAGAAAAAAAATGACAGTCTCTGGAAATCCACTTCTGATTTTAAGAAATGCTTATTTAATGATAAACAATGCAAGGGAGGATCTACAACCATATTAAAAAGATGAATTGCCAAACTCAGGGCCCTTCTACAGTTCATGATCATAGCACTATGGTCCAAAACACATTGCAGAAATAATCCAGTTTGCGACTGCTTTAACTGCCCTGACTCCATGCTAGGGAATTCAGGGAACTGTAGTTTTGTGAGACTACAAAACTATAAGATAGCTCTGGGGCCACAATAAACTACAATTCCAAGGATTCCCTAGCACTGAGCCAGGGCAATTAAAGCAGTCTCAAACTGGATTATTTCTGCAAAGTGTTTTGGACCTATGATTCCCCTTTTAACTACCATGGCAACTTCCTATGGACTTGTGGGATATGTAATTTGGTAAGGCACTAGAGCCCTAAGAATTTTAAGCAACCCTCCCTAAACTGCAGACCTCTTAATTTGCTTATATGGAAGTGAAAGTGGAATCACAGTCCTATAATTCTCTCATCTGGAAGTCCTCCTAGAGTCTTCCTGGAGCGGCAATTTATCTAGTGGGAGAGGGTTATAAAAAAGTGATTCAAGGATGCTGGAACAGTTGAAGGCCACAAAAAACACATTGCTGTTTGACTACATTCAGCATCTCACAAATATTGGCTTCCCTTACAGAGCTGTTGCAAATACGTGAAATGTTCTGAAGACACTACCATCTCTGTATAAACACTTTGTTGTTGTTGTTGTTGTGTGCCTTAAGTCGTTTCATGGGGTTTTCTTGGCCAGTTTCTTCAGAGGGGGTTTACCATTGCCATCCTCCGAGGCTGAGAGAGTGTGGTTTACCTAAGGTCACCCACTGGGTTTGCATGACTGAGCTGGGATTCGAACTCCGTCTCCAGAGTCCTAGTCCAATGCTCAAACCAACTATGCCACGCTGGCTCTCTGAATCCTTAGTAGCATAGAGGGGTTGCAGACTGCCAGAAATAGTGCAAATTGAGTCCACTTTTAGGGTTAGGGTTAGTGCTAGGGAATCATGGGAATTGTGTTTTTTTTTTCTGAGACATTGAGCCTTCTCTGTCAGAGAGCTCTGGTGCCACAATAAAATACAGTTCCCATGATTCCCGAACCCTAATCCTAACCCTAAAAGTGGACTCAATTTGCACTATTTCTGGCAGTCTGCAACCCCCCATAGTTACTTTTCCAAATGTGGTGGATGGAGGAGGATCTTTGCGTGGGAAGGCAAAAGAGACACAGGAGGAAGTCCTGCAATGCTTACCAAAACCTTTCCTCCCTGTAGATCCAGCAGTCCGTGCTAAGCCGCCAAGCCCGGGCGGTGCTGGTGATAGCTCATCGGATGCAGACGGTGGAGAACGCCCACAAGATTGTGGTGCTGGAAGGTGGGAAGGTTGTCGAGGAAGGAACTCACTCCGAACTTATGGACCAAAAGGGCCCCTACTACAGGCTGGTACAGAGGAGCTCCATGGAGTGACTGTGGAGTGGAGAAGGGAACTTCTACATCAAATAATATGGTGCCCTTTCTTGTACGCCAAGGACTTGTTTTGTGAGATACCGGCTATTGCACAGTATTTCTTAAAAGGAAAAAGTGGACTATGCAGGAACCAGGAAACATTGTATAGTTGTAAAATATTAAGACATTTAGGGCTCACGTATCCAGGTAAACATTTTGTGAAGTGTGGTGGGGACGTCAAGAAGGGTTTAATTAGTTTTATGTGGGATTTACATTCTTACCTTTAAAAAAAACACCCAGGAATACATAAAAGTCTTTTGGGGTATAATTGATTCCTCAGGTGTAGACTTCAGTTGGTTGGATACAGTCCCTGTGGGAATGTAAGCTGTTTCTTTTAAAGTGTGGGAACCTCCATTTTAGAAGGTTCCAGTGCCTCATTGCAACCTTGGGTGAATCGGCATCTACAATGCAATGCTATACAGGTCTGTTCAGAAGTAAGTTCCATGTTTTTTCTGGGCCTTACTCCTAGGTACATGGGAACAGGATTGCAGCCTGTAGTCATATATGTTTCCTTGAGTAAATGCCTTGGGATGTCTTTCCAAAAATTCTGTCATCTCATTTTCCAGAGGGTTAAATCCAGAGGCTAATTCCTGGTGTCTAGAGGTTGCCCTGAAACCCATAGAAGAAGGGAGGGGAACCCTTTTCTAACTCAGACTCCTTGTTTCCTCTAAAGGATTTGGGGAGCAGTTTCACTTTGCGGGGAGAGCGTCCAAAAAAGGCCTTTGTGTAGAGACCAGATGTGATTGAAAATTACTTTCTGTTTTGAAAATAAACCCTTCCGGGTCAAAACAACTGCAGGATGTCCTCTCCATGCTTTGAGGGATTGAGGCATAAAACCTTTCTTCCTTCTTGTTTGGCTGGGTGTGCCAAGGGGCCTTGGGTGGCTACATGTGGCCTGTGAGCATCCCATTTTCTATCCCTGTCTTATAAAAGTATATTGTTGCACCTGTTCGACTAAATTGAGAGAAAGAAGTTTGTAGCAGAAATGTGCATAGATTGAGCCTCCTTCATCAGATGCTAGAAACTTACAAACAGGATAAACTACAAAAAGGATAAAAGCGTCTTTGGCTGGTATTTATCACACAACATCATGTCTGTCCTGCTGCTCTTGCATTCCATTCATGACTGCAGTGCACTTTTTCATTGACCAGCAAAATCTGTCAATAGGCTCTCAATCTCACTGCTGCTCCATTACTGCCTTTGTATGATAGGTTCCTTCTGCTGCAGTTCTGGCGTTTGACAGTAGGAAAAACAAATTATACATCCATGGATTGCCTAAGCACTATTGTGGGGAAAAGTGTGAGAAGAAATGATGCCAAACAGGTTTGCTTCCATTCTTAAACTAGCACGATCATGGCAGGACAGGAGGCTAGTGTGATAAAGTCCTTGGTCTCAGAGATGCTATAATATCTCCAGACTAACAGCTTTGAATTCTACATACTTGTATTATGTTTTCTTGAGTAGTTTACTATTGACTAAGGCTGCTTTGCCTCCTGCTTGTGAAGCCAGATAGTGTTATTTTCTTCTCTATACTTCTTTTCTCTGAAGATGCCAGCCACAGATGCTGGCGAAACGTCAGAAAGAAACTCTTCAAGAACATGGCCACACAGCCTGAAAAACCCACAAAAAAACTATGGATGCCGGCTATGAAAGTCTACGACTTCACAAAGGACGTTTTCACACGCGGGGTCTCAAAGCGGCAAGAAAGCGGCATGGAATCAATCCAGAACCATACCGGAATAGACCCCGTAGCTTCAGACAAGAAATCAGCATCATTCCGGTATGATTCTGGATTGATTCTGGTCGCGGCAAGATGTAATTCTTCAATGAAAGA